AAAAAAAAAAAAAAAAAAAAAAAAAAAAGGATAATTAGTTTCAGAATTACAAAGAATACAAAGGAATTTATTAGGGATTTTGAATTTTTGAGATAAAATGTGAGACAATTGTAAAAATTACAGGGGATATGGAATAGTTTTGTTTTTGTTTTTGTTTTGTTTTTTGTACCAGAGAATGAACACGGGTCCTTGTGCTTGTGAGACAGGTGCCAGAACCACTGAGCTAAATCCCTGGCCCCATGGAATAGTTTTTTTAAAAGCAGTTTTGGCAAGCATTTCAGCCATTGTGTGGTGGAGCAGGCTCTCCCTCCCTCATGTGTACCGTGTCACAGTGACCCATTCAGCGACCTCCCAGTGGCCCCAACTCTGCTGTGATGGGAGGAAATTGGCAAATGCTGACGTTTGGGGGCTTTCTTGCCCCTGTTAGTTGTTAAACATTTCCCAGCACTTGCTGGTTAGGATAACCAGTCCTGCGATCCGCCGTGTGTGTGTGTGTGTGTGTGTGTGTGTGTGTGTGTGTGTGTGTAATTTCTACTGGCCCGTGTTTGCAGTACATAATGAGCATAACGTTCCCTGTGTGGAGTTGGTGTGTGTGCCCAACACATCTTTTTCTTTCTTTCTTCCCTCCTGCCTTCCTTTCTTTCTTTTTCTTTCCTTCTCTCCCTCTCTCTCTCCCTCCCTCCTTTCATTTCTCTCTCTCTCTCTCTCTCTCTCTCTCTCTCTCTCTCTCTTTCTCTCTCTCTCTCTCTCTCTCTCTCTCTCTCTCTCTCTCTCTCTCTCTTTCTCTCTCTTTTTGAACCAGGGATGGAACTCAGGAGCTTATGCTTGCCAGGCAGGTACTGTGCCACTAGCTACATCCCTGGCCTCTTAATTCTTCTTTTCAGCCCTTCCCTCCCCTTCCTTGAGGGATCCATTGTGCTGTGCTTTTAACAGTGCTCATTGTGCTGGCTGCACGTTACAGTCCCCCTGGAGGCTGCACGTGACAGTTTCATCTGGAGACTACAACAGAAAACAGATCTTGCTGATTTGGGCTCTGCTTAATCACCAGAAAAATTACCAAAGAGTATATTAGCCTGCGAAGGGATGCAGGCACTGTCAGGTCATTGGGGGGTGGGGGGACTGGGGATTGAAACTGGGTCTTTGTGCTTGCACTGAGCTAAATCCCCAGCCCATTAACTTTTAAAATGCAGGTTATCTGTGGTTGAGCACACCTGTGATCCCAGTGTTCAGGAGGCTGAGGCAGGAGGATTGCCTTGAGTTTGAGGACAGTCTGGGCTACACAGTGAGACTTTGTCACAATCAAACAGGCAAGCAAACAAGCAGTCAGTTGTTCTTAACTTAAAGCCCAGCTGTTCTTAACTTAAAGCCAGGCTCAGAATCTCCTGTAGGGCCAGATAAAATAGACTCCCTGGTCCATCACACTCTGCAGTCTGTGATTATTAGGTCCAGGCAGGGCCTGAGACTATGCAGCCATTCCACAAACCAAGGTCCCGGAAGACCTTACCTGCGCCCATGTCTCAGGGCTACTGCTCTGAAACAACACTCCAAGCAGAGGCTCTCTGGCATGTTCTGATTTTTGTCTGACATTTTACTCACTTTTAAATGTTAATTATTGTTTTTCCCTTCCCTAGGGTAGCGGGGTGAGTGATGGGAAAGGTGGCTGCTCAGGTTATTTCTTTTATTTCTCTAATTCTAGACCAGTGGTTCCAAACTGGCTGCACATTGAGGAAATCTGGGAAGAGATTCTGATTCATTTCAGGTGGAGAACATACATATTTTTTAAAGCTCCACATTTCACTTTAGAGTGAAATGCTCTATTTATGCTTTAAATAGCCTGGTATTCAAGCTAAAAATTTCAGAGTCAGAATTATGTAGGCTACACTGTTTGAAAATGACAGCTCCTCCTTCTGTAGCCATTTTTGAGATCTACATTATCTCTATTTTCCATATGAATGGCAAATCAAAGGGATAAGCAAAAAAAAAAAAAGCTATCATTGAGAAGGACAAGTGTGTATTTTAATGCAAAACCTGTGAGGTTAAACCAGTGACGTTATAACTAGTAAGAGAAGTCCCGACACAAACGATAAATGTTCGATGATGGATATGATAATTTCCCCACTACAGCATTACACATTATATTCATGCATCAAAATTATATACAGTACCATATATATATAAATTACTGTATGTCAGTTAAAAATTAGTAAGAGCTGGGTGTGGTGGCGCATGCCTGTAATCCCAGCACTCTGGAGGCTGAGGCAGGAGGATTGCTGTGAGTTCGAGACCAGCCTGAACTACATAGTGAGTTCCAGGTCAGTCTCAAATATATAGGGAGACCCTGTCTCAAAAACAACAACAACAAAAAAAAAAACCAAACAAAAATTAGTAAGAAAAGTTGTAGGCCTGGAGGCTCACAAAGTGTGCATAAGTGTGTATATTTGTACCTATCCAAATTAAACATATACACACATAAATAAAGAGAATACTGAAGAAAGGCAAAGAATACTAAGGAAGTATACAGTGCTGAGGGCTGGCTTTTTTGAGGGAACCACTACATAAGAGCAGAAAGAATTTTTTATTAACTGGAATTCTCATATGGCAGTTTTACTATTTAATTCTCCCCTTTGTAAAGAACCTGATTTATGCATAGTAGTAATATGTGCAGCCAAAGACAACAATCCCCAGCCTCCTTTGCAATTAGTGTACCACGTGGCCAAATTCTGGCCAATAAGATACAAGGAGATTTTGGATGAGACCTCTGAGAAGGCTTCTGACTTCCAGAGTGTGATTTCTGCCCGTTTTCCCCTCCAGCTGTTTGAAATGAACATGAGATAACTAGACCACCATCAGCGTGTTGGACCGCGAGCGTCCTGAAGAAGAAGAAGCCTGAGTTGGCACAAAGCAGAAAGCTAGGAGGCTGCATTCATAATTAGGATAGGACAGCTCCAGACGCTATCTACTTCCTTTATATGAGAGAAGATAAATCCCTGAATTTAACGCCTGTCAATTTAGGTTTCCTGGATTATGAAACTCAATCCTAACTGACATACCTAATAGCCCCTAACACAAAGAAGGTAGTCCCCCTGACAGCTTGTTTGGGGTTACTTATCCCCAACGACTCCCTTCTCTGAGAGCTTCTGATGCGAGCCATGCCCCTCCTTTTCCTTCCAAACACAAATCCTCTGCACAGCTGATCGGTGGGGTGGTCACCGGAGCAGGATATAGCTACTGGGATTGGGAATCAACTGAGTTAGCAGTGGTGTTTGACCCAGATCGTGACATAGCAGGGAGGACATGGCCATGATGGAGCACAGCTGGACTGACGGACGTGCCAGCAAAGGGAGAAGGTGCAGCGGATGTGGAAAGAGAAATGAGCCGTTCAGACAGGCAGACAATGAGCCAGCCATGTGGACAGAGGCTGGGAGGACCATGTGATCCCCGAGTGACGGCCCAGGAAGCCTAGTCCCCAACACGCCCATTCTCCTGGGGGGCTTGGCTGCATTTTATTGTCCATTCCTGCCTACAAGGTATAATTGAAAAATGTGTTTAAATTTAAAAAATTTATTACAGTAAAAGTCACATTGCTATTAATCCCCCTTGCTTCGCGCCTGTATCCATTGTTCTCGCCCCTGTCTGAGCAGTTCTGGAAGTGCTTTTTTGTGAGAGTCTTTAGTTGCACCGTCATGACTCTTTGGTGTCCTTAAGCAGTTCAAAACGTTTACCTTTTATGGCCCGGAGTCGGGGCAGAGGCAGAAGTCACAAGGTGCTAGATTCTGTGAATAAGGTAGAGGAGGAGACACTACCATGCTTTTATCAGCCTTCTTTTCCCTTGGATGGCACTTGGCAGCTGTACTCACCGTAACTTTAATTATACCTCAAAAAGATGCTCACGAAGTGAAGGGGGCTACTTTGAGGGGCTTTGTGGCAATGCGTCTTTTACTGCACTACGTTAAAAAATTTAAACATTCTCTGTATATTTTGATCACACCCCATTTATCCCTGTGAGAATCTCTTCACCACTTTTTAGTTTAAGTAGATTCCTGTTTCCTGTGACTGGCAGACTATAAGGGGTCTGAGGACATTTCTGGATAAGTCTTAGAGGGATGTTTCATGACATTGGATTTTACACCAAGAATTTTGCCTTATATGGTGAAAAGATACAAATGAAATTGGAGGAAAACCTGAATAAAATACCCTCTCTTTTTTCCAAATAAACCCTCTAGACTTGACCTTCTTCCAGGAACTAGCTTTTTTTTTTCCTCTCTCTCTTTGGTACCTGGGATTGAACTCAGGACCTTGTGCTTGCGAGGCAGGTGGTGACACTGCTGAGCTAAATCCCTGGCCCTAGGTACTAGCTTTTAGTAGACTGTAGATAACGGCTCTGAAGCCCTGGTCCTGAAGGTAACAGCTAAGGAAGGTCAGTCTCCTTTCCCACACTTCAGCCCATAAATATCCCTAAAGTCCATCCCTGGGTAGATGGATTTGAGACTTGACCTCTTGCCCGGTGAACAACTCACCATTTCAGTGACTGGCATACCGCATGGTAGGTAAAACCTGCCCAGTTCTGTAACAAGACTGAACAAGGCCAACTGTGCCCAGTGACATCTCCTGGTCAGCACTGAGCAAGACAGAGAGCAAACACTGTTGTTATAGATTTTCTCATTGACATTTGAAGGTCCATGGAATCTTAGACGTAATTTCTATCATTTTGGCGGGTGGATGAAACAACATAGTATTATGCATCACATTTGCTTTGCTATGAATCAGCATTAAATGTTGCAACAGGGCCCTGACAGGTTCTTTAGAGAGCTTGGGCCACAACTACAGTAGGAGCCTGGGTTAATTTCTAGTCAGAAGACGACGACTTCTTTCATCCCATTACATTTATACAGGGCCTATGATGGCTACCGCTGTGTAGCTGGCAGCACACAGATTATCTGAGAAATACTAACTAGTTTTCCACGATGAGCATCGGCTCTCAAGTTGAAACACAAATGGGAAATGCTGGGGTGAAATGAAGGATTATTAGACACAGAAAAAGGCTTTCTAAGAAGAGGATGCAATGCTTTATCTGAAGACTCTATCATTAGACAAATGTCTGTGCATTAGTTCAGGGGCAACTCCGCTCGGAATCAGAGTATTAATGACAGGACAGTAGTTAGCGTACACTATAATGACATGAGGATGTGCTTTCCCAATGCACTTAATGTGCATTTTCTCAAGAAATTGCCTCTTTCAACTCCATTAGTTTTAGTACTGGGGATCAAACTTGTGACCTGTGCTTGTGAGACAGGCACCATTACCACTAAGCTAAATCCCCGGCCCTCAATGCCATCATTTTTTTTTTTTTTTTTTTTTTGAGACAGG